TTTGAGCTAAAGCATGCATCTAGCCACATGAGAGATGGTATATATACATCCTGCTTTTCAACCCGCCCAGTCTTTGCTGCACTTATGTCTGTCATGAGTGGTTTATCTACAACATACAACATATATACAAATTAAACAACTATACTTACGAGTTACGAGTGCAAATGTTGTTGGATCCCGACCTTTAATTAACTTTAATTAATGGAGTATGTCCTTGCATGCCACCCTAAATGGGAGGATGTTGGATGTTTCCACAAAAGTTGGCCCATGAACAATTTGTTTAGGCCATTAGTTTGTTCATTGGTGCTTAACCAAATGCAGCACTTTAAATTAGCTGCTAAGCACAAGAAGTTTTAGGTTTTTGTGTTTGGTCACAGGTGCCACGCGCATTGCCCAGTCCTGGAAAGTTGGGTGCCGGTCTGTGTAGTTTAGCTAATGGCGTAGGTGTCGGTGTTAAAACCGGCGGATCTCGGGTAGGGGGTACTGATCTATGCGTCTTAGGCTGATGGTAACAGGAAGCAAGGGACACAATGTTTACCCAGGTTCGGGCCCTCTCGATGGAGGTAAAACCCTACTTCCTGCTTGATTAATATTGAAGATATGTAGAATACAAGAGTAGATCTACCACGAGATCATAGAGGCTAAACCCTAAAAGCTAGCCTATGATGGTATGATTGTAAATGTGATCGGCCTTCTAAGGACCATCCTCTCTGGTTTATATAGACACCGGAGAGCTAGGGTTTACATGGAGTCGGTTACAAGGAAGGAAACATAATATCCGGATCGCCAAGCTTGTCTTTCACACAAAGGAGAGTCCCATTCGAACACGAGCCGAAGTCTTGAGTCTTGTATCTTGACGCTTCTATAGTCCGGACGATGAATATAGTCCGGCTGTCCGGATACCCCCTTATCCAGGACTCCCTCAGTAGGCCCTGAACCAGGATTCAATGACGATGAGACTGGCGCGCAGTCTTATCTTCGGCATTGCAAGGCGGGTTCCTCCTCCGAATACTCCAAGGTTACTATCGAACACGTAGGTTGTGTCCGGATTTGCCAAATGATCCTCACATACCACCGTAGAGAGAATGATACTTCAGCTGACGATTTTTAGATGACGTGACATGCCACTAGAGCTAGGTCATTATTCGAACCGTTTTTCTCAACCAGCCACAGCGCATATTGCGAGGCGGTTTCCTTGACACGTCTTGTCAAAGCATAGATCATGTCCCCTTATCACGGGATTCTCATCAATACGGGTATGGGTAATCCCCCCGTGCCATCAATCGTGGCGGTTAGGAAGTAAGCGATTCTCAACAGGCTAGTGGGGAGGCGCACCGCTTTCGTCGCCTCTATAAAGGGATAAGAGTTCCCCCACTCTTGCCCCCTCGAGCTCCAGCGCCCCAGTCCAGGTTTTCTCCGCACAGTTAGTCATGTTCAGAGCAGGAGGCAAGTGGGTGGCTTCCACCATGACGGAGAAGAAGATCACGAATCTCCGGGTGGGCGGATACTTGGTGGCAGATATAGCGCACCGACTACCAGATGAGGGGCAGGTCATTCCAACTCCAGGACCCTACGAGAGGGTCGTGTTCCTGGCCCACTTCGTCCATGGACTGGGGTTTCCACTCCACCCCTTCGTCCGCGGGCTCATGTTCTACTACGGGCTAGACTTTCATGATCTAGCTCCGAACTTCGTCCTCAACATCTCGGCGTTCATCGTCGTATGCGAGGCTTTCCTCCGCATCAAGCCTCATTTTAGCTTGTGGCTACAAATCTTCTGCGTGAAGCCGAAGATCGTGAGTGGCCAACAAGCGGAGTGCGGAGGAGGCATGGTGGGCAAAATGCCTAATGTCACCTGGCCTGAAGGCTCCTTTGCGGAAATCGTGAAGGGGTGGCAATCGTGGTGGTTCTACATCACCGAGCCGCGCGACGCCAACTGGGCGGCGGCCCCCGAGTTCCGATCTGGAACCCCTATGCGGCTCACCTCCTGGGAACAGAAGGGCCTGCTATGGGGCGAATCTACAGAGCTGACCGGACTCATCAACTGCATCAAGTGCATGAAGGACAAGAACATCAAGCTTGTCAACGTGATCCAAGTTATGCTCATTCGCCGAATTCTGCCGTGCCAAAGGAGGGCATTCAATCTGTGGGAGTTCGACCCGGCCGAACACCAGATGCTTCAGAGGCTCTACGGCATGAAGCACAAGGACGCGTGGAAGGCGCTATTCAAGACCTCCGAAGTACCTCTTCTTATAACTGAGGACCGCGGGCTACACGCCACACGGCACCCCACCCAGGTGAGTTCTCAGGCCGCCACTGGGTCCGGTTCTCCCCAACGTATTTATGGAAAATTCCTAAGTGATTGTGTATGTTCATTTTAGTAGTATGTGGAGACAGCGGAGCAGATCGACAGTCTGGCTCCATATCTGGAAAGCCCAGCCAATGATCTTCTGACAAAGATGCTGGTCCCGGCACCCTATAAGGGGCCGGAGAAGAAGGCCAACAAGAAGGCCCCGGGGACCCGAAAGGGCCTCCGAAATAAGGTTGCGCAAGCCTCGTCCGAAGACGACGAGACGCATTCCTCCCCCGAAGGGGAAGAAGAAGAAGAGGAGGAGGAGGCCGCCCCATCCGGAAAGGATGGGGGCCGGAGATGGCGAACCAGGGGGCCAGGAGAGGCCCTCGGCGTAAGGCCGTCATACCCCTGTCGTCCGATGACGACGAGGCAGATTCCTCCCGCAGAGGCGAGGAGGAACAAGGAGAAACACCACCTCCCCGCACTGGGGGAGGGAAGAAGAGGAAGGCCGCCCCGGTGGGAGAGACTGGGACGTCCAAGAAGGGAAAGGCATCCCTTCCGGACTACTCCGCCACCGCCACCGATAGCGAGGAAGGGTGGCTGCCCAGGAAGAAGCCCCTTGTGCGATCGTAAGTGTTCGCACTCAATCGTGATTTTGCTTCATAGTATTGTTTATAATGCCGAACTTGTATGCAGTCTGGCCAGGGTCCTTCCCGAAGTGTCGTCTTTGGACAGGTCCTTGACTGAGTCAGCAATGAACTCACTCCCAACGGCCACGTCTCCTCGACCTGCGGACGACACGGAGGTGTTGTCCCGAAGGCTCCCGACGATGGCGGAGGTGGCCCTGGAGGCGCCTCACGGCGGCGTCCCAGACGTCGGACTCGCGGGGTTGAAGGTCCCTGCGGATCGTGTTGATGAGAGCCATGGTAAGCCGGGCTCTCAGCCGAACACTGTTCTGGAGCCTTCAGTGGTTCCGGACTTAGGCGGGCAGCCCCTCGTTATGGAGGGAGGGCCGTCTGTATCAAGGACTTCCATTGCACCCCAGGCGCCGGATTGTCTGCTGGAAGCGCTTCGCAGTGCTTCCCTAAGGGGAGAGTGCTTACAGAGGGCGGGGAGAAGGAGGCACCGAGGCGCGGCGAGGCGGGGTCAGGGCAGACGGCGGCAAGGCGGGGTCAGGGGAGACGGCGGCGAGGCGGGGTCGGAGGAGACGGCGCGAGGCGGGGTCAGGGGAGACGGTGGCGAGGCGGGGTCAGGGGAGACGGTGGCGAGGCGGGGTCGGGGAAGACGACGGCGAGGCGGGGTCGGGGGAGACGACGAGGAATAGTAGAGGAGAATTGGGGGAGGAAGCAGATGATCAGGCCGCGCGTGGGGCTAGGTGAAAATAGTTTTAACTGTAGCGTGGGGAGGGAAAACGCGCTGCTGCTAAAATCCGTAGTAGTAGCGCTGTTCGTAGAAGGGCGCTACTACTATACCTAGCACGTCGGGAACGGTGTGGCAATTATAGTAGTAGCGCTTTCTGTTCCTGTCGCGCTACTGCTAAGCGGGTAATAGTAGCGCGGTTCTGCCAGACGCGCTACTGCTAAGTAGCAGTAGCGCCTCATTTTAATAAGCGCTACTGGTAACATTCTGTGTATAAGGTTTTTCCTAGTAGTGACATGTTCTGCAGCCCGATGATGTCTGCCCCCGTCCATGCTTCCGCAGCACCTCCTCCATGCTCCGCCGCCGCCTCGCGTCCAGCCCGCCCGACACCACCTACAGCGGCTTCCGGGACTGCGGCCACCGCGGGCGCCATGGAGAACAGCGCCGCGTTGAACGTCGCCCAGCGGCGGCCGCCGTCCCTCGCCCGGCGCCGACCCGGGGGGCGCCCGTTGGCTGCCCCGCCTCCGGCCGCAAGGACGGCGCCTAGCCACGCTTCCCAACGGCGACCTCGGCGCGCCCCTAGACTGGAGCCGGCGTCCGCGCCCGCGTCCGGCAGTACGACTGCCTCACCGGGCAGGTCGAGGCGCTGCGGGACGGCTGACGCCAACGCGGGAGAAGTACTCGCCGCTGCCCCCAGACTTGAGATGATGGCGCGGGCAGACAGCGCGGCCGCCCGGGCCGAGTTGCGGCGCATGCGAGCGAGCACCAGGGAGACCGGTAGCGGCGAGGGACTAGAGACGGCGGCGAGGGCGCGAGAGAGTGAAGCCGCCGCGGGCGCGCGGTGGCCGCCGAGTGCCGGCGCCGGCGACGCCAGGAGTAGGGTGAGGAGGGGCTGCATTTGTGGGCGGTGGTGGTGGTTGGACTGGAGGCTGTCACGCGGGCGTGGAAGAATGTGCTGCATGTGGGTGGAGCCCGGAGTAAAAGGGTGGAGAGAGGGAGTGGGAGGCTGACTGTGGGCCAAAGGACATGCAAAATCTTCTCTCTCCACCCCCAAGCGCCCCCCGATGGGCTGGGTGTGGTCTGTGACCGCCGGCTCTAACTTTGGCCAAATCCGGCGAAATCTGGAATCTTGGGATCACAAGTGGGCGAAAATTTAGGCGCCGACGGCCAAAAAGTGCTCCCGGGGAGCATCCTGGGGGGCCGGCTGGAGATGCTCTAACTTGCTATAACGATGTGCTCACTGCTTCAGCTTACATGAAATTTTAGCTGCTTCGCATCTAACCTCAAACGATATATATATACATCCTCTGGAACTAACTAACTAGCTCTACTCCGGTTGTTAAATTTTTTGTCAGTGGTGCCTAGGGCTGTGAACACTTGGAACATAATAGTCTTCCTGGAACTCTGGCAATCCATGGGCCACCGCCTTAACTTGGCTCACAGCACCGGCTATTCTCGTCGTCTCGCCTGCTGATCCAGCAGAACTCTTAGCCACATCGTCAATTGGTTTCTGCAATCATGAACACAAGAAAGTTAATTAGCGTCTGCAGAAAAGATCATCCTCCAAAGATTCAGACAACGGAACATAAGATCAGAACCACTACTTACATTGAGCACTGGGTTGCCGCCGCCGCTGCTGATGGACTCCCGGGTCTCTGCGTCTAGCCGGATGCCTTCAGCCTCTGTGGCTGTCAGTACTAGAAGCAAGATCACAGCTGCACTCAGTGACAGGTACTTGGAAATGGAACTCATCATCATGTCAGAGATTGATGTCACTGACTAGCTAGGAGAGTATACTTCACTCAGTATTCAACTAAGAAGAGAGTGTAGAGAGAGGAGACGCTAATCAAGTCATTGAGCTGAAGCATGCATCTAACCACATGAGAGATGATATATATACATCCTGCTTTTCAACCCGCACCAGTGTTTGCTGCACTTATGTCTGTCATGAGTGGTCTATCTGCAACATATACAAATTAAACAATTATACTTACAAGTGCAAATGTCGCTGGATCACTACCTTCAATTAACTTTAATTAATGGAGTACGTCCTTCGGTCCTTGCATGCCACCCTAAATGGGAGGATGTCTTCACAAAAGTTGGCCCATGAACAATTTGTTTAAGCCACTAGTTTGTTCATTAATATTTAACCAAATGCATCACTTTAAATTAGCTGCTAAGCACAAGAAGCTTTAGGTTTTTGTGTTTGGTCACAGGTGCCGCGTGCATTGCCCAGTCCTGGAAAGTTGGGTGCCGGTCTGTCTAGTCTAGCCAACGGCTTAGGTGCGACCGAACCCTAAACCCTAGAGAACCTGTATCTTCTGAAAGCTTCTACTACATGTGGGGCTGGATAAGTTGGATTTAATGATGTGGAGGGTTTCAGCGTGTTTAGCTTCTGAAATGAAATACACGAACAAAGAGAACTAAGAGCATCTCTAACGGAACTCAAAAAAATGGTTAACTCCTCAAAAGATTCCATTTTGAGAGGGTCAGCCACGGCTAATCAAAGGCTCACAAGGTTAACTCAGGAGTTAAGGGCATCTCCAGCCGCGCCCCCAACAGGCCCTCCTCAGCCGATTTTGCCGCGCCGGCAACAAAAAAAGGCCCCAGTCGCGCCCCCAGAAGCCCGTTTTTCGCCGGCTCGGGCCAAAACTGGTGCCGGCGGACCCAGGCCGAACCCGGCGCCCTGGGGGGCGCTTGGGGAGCCGGCGCAAGCGAAGAAGGCGCGTGGGCTCGCCCTGGAAGCGACCTGAGGGTCTTTTCCCGCTGTTTCTTGACACTTTTCCCTCGCATCTCTCCCGCTCGCTCGCCTTCCTCCCGCCATTCTATCCCTTTCTCCCGCTCGCTCGCCTTCCTCCCGCCAAACCCCCTCCCGCTCGCCGCGAAGAAGCACGCCATGCCGCCGAAGAAGCACGCCATGCCGCGCGCGGCGGCAACCGTGACTGGCGCCGTGGCCCAGCCGAAGTCGAGGAAGCCGAGGGCGCCGCCATCGAAGCCACCAGGCCTGTCGAACGCCGAGTGGAGGGTGGAAGTTCAGCGGCACGAAGCGGTCACCGCCGACAGGCGGAACAGGGCCATAGCCAAGAAGGCCCACGACACCGCGGTACGCACGGCGGCGTCTTCCTCATCGATCGACCAGGCGGGGATGAACCCACCCGTCGTCAGCCACGCCCAGTACGCGCCCTGGGGACAGCAAGGCGCCGGATCTCCATGGGGTTCATCGTCGCCCGGCTGCTACGCCGACGGCGACGCGCACGGCGGGTTCAACCCAAATGTGACCTTCCCTCATGGTCACCCCGCTACGCGCACGCCCTCGCCCGCCTTCGTCGGCATGCAGTACCCTCCATACAACTACTCGCCGCCCGCCTCCTACACGTCCACACCGACGCCCCATCTCTACCGCGGACCACTACCCTTCTCGCACCTCGGCGACACCGACGACACGGGAGACGACATGGATGACATCATCGCGACAGGATCAACCGCTGCCGCCGAGTCTCCCGGGTTCGCCACCCAGGACGAGGTGGTGGACCTCAACGGCGACATGGAGGCCGAGCTCGGCTACGTCTACGACGACGACGCGCAGGAACCCGAGGAGGAGGAGGACGACGAGGAGGAGGAACCGGCCCCTGTTCCGACGAAGGGGCGCCAGAAGAAGAAGAAGCGGGCGGCTAGGTTAGGCGAACCACGCATCAAGTGGACGTCCAAGGAGGAGGAATGCCTCGTCGAAGCATGGAAAGTCGTCTGCCTCGACCCGACCACCGGCGCGAACTAGAGCTTGGACACGTACTGGGACCGCATCAAGGCCGAGTTCGACGAGCGGAAGCTCGTCGACCCCTACTTCAAAGGCGTGTACATGCAGCGCGGCTCCAAGGCGATGGCGAACCATTGGGGGCGTATCCACTTGGCGTGCAACAAATGGCATGGAATCGTCGAGGAGGTCGCGGCTCGCCCGGAGAGCGGCGCCAGCATTGAGGATCAGGTACGCACGCCGTTCGCCCGCATAGCTGCTGCGTATGTTCGCCATGTATCGGGGCGACAACCAAGATGCCAACTTCAGGCACCTCCACGTCTACAAGCGCATTGACAAGTGCGAGAAGTGGGCGGAAGTCCGGCGTGCCCTCGACAAGGCCAAGGAGACATACAAGCCAGACGCGACGACTCCGGGCGCGTCAGAGGGACGGCCGGACGGCCACAAGTTGGCAAAGAAGGGGAAAAGTGCCGACGCGGCAACCACGCGAGTGCAGGAGTCCATCGAGCATTGCCTCGCCGACGCCCAGGCCCGGGCTGTCCTACGCGAAGAGAAGACCGAGGCGCGGTGGTCGTCGCTTATGAAGAACAACGCCATCAAGCTCGACCTGCTCTGGACGAACATCGCCGCGAAGAAGAGGAACACCGACATGGCTTTTCTGATGAGCGGGGCGGACATGCTCCAGAGCAACGACGAGAAGCTCAAGGCGTGGTACCTGGTGCAGCGCGGCCTCATCCTGAACGAGCTGCCACCGGCAACGCCGACGACGCCGATGATGCCCACGACCACACGGACGCCAAGCCCGGACGGCGCCTCTACATCGCCGCCCAGCAGTGCCGAAGCCGCGCCGACGCAGCCCTGCGACGAAGCAGGTCCGACACCGACGAGCCCGCGCACGCCGACTCCGCCAATGCCTGGAGCCGACCAAGCCGAGTGATTCGTTGCGCACGGCGCCCCTCTGTTTTTTGTAACGCCAGACTACGTCCGATCGCCGGATTTGCGGCGTCTTTTGAGAGCGGGAACGACCAAGTTTGAATTTCCCGCATCCTGGGGCCGGCGCGTGGGGGCGTGACTGGGAGCTAGGTCGCCCTCAGGGGCCGAACTAGCGCCAGCACACCCCTGGGCCGCTCTATTTAGGCGCCCTGGGGGGCCGAACGGCTGGAGATGCCCTAAGTCTCAAGTTCCCCCCACTCTCTATTTTGAGCAGCGGCCACCAACTCTCATCAAAAGCTTCCTTTTCTCCTCTCCCACGCACATGGCGCCTCTCCGGCCTCCGCCACTACAACCACCAGGCTGCCTAAGAATGGAACTGTTGGCCGCCTTCGCACTCTGGTGAACACTCCTGCTGGCGTTTGACACCGACGCCAAGGAAGCGGCTTATGATGAAGACAGTCTTGCGCTCCACTACGTCCCACGAGGACTGGCGGCAAGGCCACGCCATTCGTGAAGACGACCGGCCACCCTCCAGTTGCTTTGGCCATCACCAAGCATACAAGGAAGCTGACGTCGGTGGGCAAGTCCCTAGACGAGGCAATGGCGAAGAAGAGGAAAAAGCCATCCACTCCAATGTCTCCTCTTCCGTCTCCGACCACTCCACTCACCTCCTCCGCCAACACCTACAACCACCGCAACCGCCGACAAGGATCATGCCCACCAAGTGTCCGACACAATTCCTGAAAGGTAAAAAATAGCTTTTTTGTTGTTGTTTTGTTGATGAATTTTTGTGATGCAATGCGACGATGATTGCATGACATGTTGGTTCTTGGTGGTTTAGCGTAGATGAATATGATGTTACAAGTTTCATGTCTCAATTTGATGAATCGCACATACTCGAACTTGATGACATATTGATGTCTATGGCTGATGATCATGAGAGGGAGCTGGGGCTTCTGGCTTTTGATGATAGGGTTAGGCGAGTAGTCTGGGTATGTGGCCCAGGTAGCACCCCTGCATCATTTGGATAGGAGTAGTGGCATATGTTGCCAAGATGGCGGATTCAGGCATATTGTTGTAATACTTTGTAAGGTTCTCGAGAATAATCAATAAAGTGGCCGTATGCATCTCCCAGATGCAGAGGCCGGGGGTCATCCTCCTTTTCTAAAAAAAATGAGAGGGAGGAGGATGACCCTGAAGCGGAGGAGGTCAATGAGCCTGTGGAGACACAAACAAGTGTGTAGAAGACAAGATCAGTGAACTATCGATGCCAAGAAGACATTGCTTTGTGTTTTGCTTGGATGAATGCGTCCTTTGGTGTCTAGGTTTGTACTAATGAAATGAATGAGAGGTTTTGACAAAGAATTGAAGAGTACTACTTGAGCAATGTGGTTGTTCCTTCCAACTGTGCTCAAGGTTCTATTGCCCACCGGTGGGGTGTGATCCAAGATCAATGCAATCGATGATTTGGTTGTGTTGACCAAGTCAACCTCACCACCGAGTGGGGTGACAATCAATGAGTATGTGTCTATCATCCAAGTCCTATAGAAGCAACACAACAAGAATGGTGGTTGCAAACCGTTCGTGTTGCACCATTGGTACAAGGAGCTAGTTGGCCATGGTAAGTGGATAAGGATAAACTTCAAAACCACTACATAGAGGGCAATAATTAGCATATCGGTTGATGCTAACGACATGCATGATGAAAATCCTCACACTAGGCCAAATGGGCAAAAGGTCGCAGAAGAGGGAAAGAAAAATGCAGGCGTCGACGTGTACCAAGAGGAGCTTTGTGCTATGATCGAGACCAAGAAAGCATTGGCAGCAGAAAGGAAGGTAGAGAATATAGCAAGGTCAAACGAGCTCATGTTCATGGAGGATTAGAAGTGGAGAAAAAAGGTGGCAGCTGAAGCGAGGAAGGTGGAAGTGGAAGATACGGGATTGCACTCGAGGAGGACAGACTTGCAAAAGAGAAGAAGGCAGAAGAGTGTGCTATCATGTTCATGGATCCGAGCATGATGGATGACATGACAAAGCAATATTGGCAACTCACTCGTGGTGAGATTTTTGCCAA